GACATTAACTTACCAGTGGACCCCATGTAGGTGACTTCTACTCAGAAAACCTGTTGGTCCAAGCCCAATGGCCACAGCCAAAATGGAACAAATTCTTCCAGAATGCTTTAAATGCAAGGCCACGTTCAAGTCAGAGTAAGCCCCCCCCCCCCCACTGTGAGTAGAGGCGGTAGGGGTCTGACAGTAGCGTTTAGTTCTGGTCTGTGTACGCCTTCTTCCCTTTTTATCCCCATCATCTAAAGAGACAGTATCTACACATTAAGTGTTTATCAGTTAGGAATACTTTTTGTAAAAATTTCCTGTGTGAAAAACCACAAAGGTCCTGTCTGAGAAAGTCTTTAAGCCTTAGGATTTTTGTCTCTTAGCTGCTGGTCTTTATGCTCCATCCACTGCCACACCCCCACCCCTACCCACCCCAACCAAACCTTAGTATTCAGCTTTGTTGCCTCATGGTTTTAATACGGCTGCCTGAGCACCAGGTATCACATCCAAATTCAAGGCAGGAAGTGGGGAAGGGTTGGAATATGAGAGCAGCAGTGATAGCCTTTTCTTTAAAAAAGAAATCAGAAAAGCAAGAACTTTCCCAGAAACTCTCTAGCAGACTTTAGCTGGAACGTGTCACTGGGCCGCTCTTAGCTGCAAAGGAAGCCTCTGCAGTGGCCTCTAAGGTGGAAAAGGGTGAGGCAAAGGGCACTGGTGGTGGATTGTGTGTTGGCTGTCCAGAGTGCCTGCCACAAACTGAAAGAGCCCTGGTAGATGTGAGGGGCTGAGACCCACTGAGCTGAACACCTCACAGTTTGGGGCTTCTCAGAAGATTTGAACCTCAAGGGTCACCTATGGACCCACTTTAATGTCATCCAAGTCTTCTTGCTAGAAAAAGGGGCTCTCCTGGAGAAAAAGCTTAAGTCCTTTCCTAAAAAAGTGAATGGGCAGGGTGGGCAACAGTTTTTACTTCTTTTAGGAATAACAACAGAAGGTGAAGTTTGAACCAACTCCTCATTACCAGCTTCAGGAGGTGGTAGGAAAGAAACCTTTAAAACTTTCTCTCCTCTGTGGTGTCCACTGCATTTCTGCAGTGTTGGGAGGGTCCCTGTGCCCCCTTCAGAAGAAGCTGGATCACCCTAGTATCCTTCACACCCAAACTTCATGGCTCAAGCTATTGGTGGCAACTTCAAAGAGGCGAGGGGGCGGGGGGAGGAAAGCAGACAGAGCTCCTGGGGACTCTTCCTCAAGGAAAAGAAGGCCTCCTGGCAGCTACGGTGGGCCCAAGTCTGGGCCTAAGAAGTAGCTTGAAGGCTTAATTTTAAAAAGCCACTCACTTGTAAGAGAGTCTGTAAGAGCCCGGGTCCTGAAGAGCTGAGGCCCTGGGGCCACTGTGAAACGGACCCAGGGCTGGTCTGTACAGGACGAGCATCTGGGCCAGGACCTGGAAGGAGGAGTCGGCTGCAGGCAGGGTCAAGTGGCCGCAGCAATAAAGCCAGAGAACCACTGAGCACGCTCAGTGGGTGACCCCTTTCGGAGCTCAGTGTCCCGTAAGTGGCAGTCCCTGCTTACAGCCCATGTCGGTTCAGGTGGACGCCGCCTTACCCTTTCCTTCTCAGAGGGCTCCAGGTCAGGAACACCCTGATCAACTTCATCTCTGGTGTCAGACAACCAGCTCCCTCATCTGGAGTGATTTCAGGTGGCCTTTCCTTGATGCAAAATGTCCCTCTGTGTTCCTTGCTACAGAGATAACACACACTTGCAGCGTGCTAGTTTACAGAGCACTTTCTGTGACAGCCTCTCTCACTCCCTCCGACAGCTCTCTGGAACTGTCCTCCTCCAGTGTCCGCTGCTCGCCAGCCTGCTGCCCCAGTGTGGTTCTGGGTGAGTTCCGGGCAGGTCGTGAGGGGTGAAGGGGCTCTACAGGCTGACTTTTTAGGAGCACATTCATTCGGACATGTCGTTCCCACGTATCGTGCAACATCAACTATTTCATCAACACAAGCAAAATTTTCACATAGAAAATGCTGTACATTAAGAAGACTGCAGTCAAAACTGTGAATATATTAAATGCCACTGAATTCTTCAAGATGGTTACTTTTATGTTACGTGGATTTCACCTCAGTAAAAAATACTGCTACTGCACTTTTTAACTTTATAAAGTGCTTTTACGGTTTCCTTCTTCGACTCATTTTCTTTTTACATCCCCGGAGGCTAGAGATACAGAAACAACCAGTCGTTTATTCTGATAAGGAAACCTGTGTCCTCAGAAGGTGTGACCTGCCAGCCAGAGAACATAACGAGGAGCAGCAAGGAACCCCAGTGCGCTCACTCCTGGGCCGGAGATCATCCTTCGAAGGCTCCAAATCTAATAACTCGGAGGCGTGACTCCTCGGTGACCTCGGAAGTCACAAAGGGAGAAAGGGCAGCGACGTTCTGTCAGGGAGCGAAATCCTCTCTTCCTCCTCACATCTGTCTGCATTTGAAGGAGGAGTTCTTCTCTCAGAGGCAGGGGGCAGGGGGGTGGCTATAGGGATTCGGTTAGTTTACTAAGCCATTTGTTTAGAGTTTGTTTTTCATATCTTGTTTTTAAGTGTCAATTCCATGTTTTATAGTGTGTTCACAAAGCTGTGCAACCATCATCACTGCACAATTTCAGAACACTTTCATCATTCCCCAAAGAATTCCCCCTGTACCCAGTCACCCTTCCACTCCTCCTCCCCAGCCCCTGGCAACTACCAATCTATCTCCTGTCTCCACAGGTGTGCCTGTTCTGGACATTTCATACACCTGGAACCACCCACGACGTGGCCCTTGTGCCTGGCTTCTTTCCCCTGGCACAGTGTTTTCGGTGTCCGTCCATGGTGGAGCAGGCACCGGCACTTCCTTGTTATGGCTACCTAAAGCATTTCTAACTCCCCAGGGATTCTTCCCATTGCTTCTTTCCTTCGAGCTGTGGGCTGTTGGGGACCACTCTGTGAGGTTTCGGGAACTGTAGCCCTGTGAGAGCAATCCCTGAAAGGGGCTAGGAAGTCTCCCTGGAAAACCAGGTGAAAACACAGGTGGTAGACATGACCCGACTCTAACACCAAGGGTTCCCGTGGGGATCAGGCCCGATAAATACATTGTATCCTTTGGAACTTGCTCTGCTTTGTTCTGTATAGCCCTGGTGATGTTAACCGGATGCTTAAGTTCACGGCATAAGGAGTAGAGTCCTTATTCATGAAACATGTCTTAAGGACCCTCTGGTGTAGGTATCACTAACAGACCCTGGCCTATGACAAATCTGTGTGTTCCTTCAGTTGTTATCTATAGATAATACCTATTTTTGTGTGACTATAGCCTTTTGACATTGATTGATGAGCTATGCATGTATGCTTTGCACACCTACACATGCCATTCCCAGTAAAAGCCATTTGGGAGAAGGGCTCGGGGTGTTCTCCGCTAGAGGGAATCGCCACGCCCTTTCCTGCCGAAACAGCAAGATTTTGTGTCTGGGATGACTTATTTCTCATCCGAGGTGGATGAGAGGATTCTGTGGGCTGGAGTCCCTCGCACCGTGGGGATGTGGGGGGTCACAGTCAGGACCACAGAAAAGGGCCCTCATCCTGGTAGTGTCCAGAGAGGAAAAACAGACCCATCGTCAACATTCTCCACCATCTCCTTCAGGTAACAGACGTGACAAGGACTCTTATGTCACATCCACCAGCGAACAGCCTTCACCAGACAGGCCTGTGTGGAGCACACAGGGCCGTTTTCAAAGCAACAACCCCTGCGTGCTCTCCGGAGGACCACGCAGCCAAACCTGGCTCTTGAACAAAGGCCAGGCCCAGTGTCATCCGGGAAGAGGGACGTGCTCAATCCCTTCCTTCTACAAGCTGGTAGAGGCCTGCTCCTGAATTGTACTATCGACCCCTGAACAATACAGGGCCTTAGGGGCACTGACCCCCAACCAGTTGAAAATTCACATGTAATTTAATTTGGCTCTTTGTTTCTGTGGATTCCCAACAGCAGATCGAAAACACTGTTTTCAGTCTGTGGTTGGTTGAACCCACAGGTGTAAAACCCGGGAATATGGAGGGCTGACTGTGTATCTATTGAAAAATTAATCCACGTGTAAGTGGACCTGCACAGTTCAAGCCTGTGTTGTTCCAGGGTCAACTGTAGATTCACAGTGCAACCTACCAATTTCTCTCCCCTCAGTGTCTCAGTCGCCAGCTCCAATCCAAGTCCTCTAACTTCTAAAGCATTTCCTGGGGCAGCTCCCCCCACCCGCTGTGTTTAATCCCGACACAACGATTACCTGCAACCCCCCGACTTCCACGTGCATCTCCATGTCAGGCTGATGATTTGACTTCCTGGTGGTCCGAGCCAGTAGGTTACTGAAAGTCTCTCCAATTGGCCTAACACAAGTTATTCTGATAGCTAGTCTCAATGTTCCCATCTTCTTCTCCCTTCTAGTACAAGGCGGACAAGGGATTATCATGCCCATTTGCAGAAAAAGAGCTAGAGAACCAGTAAGGAAAAGAGACTAATATTCACTAGCAAAAGGTAACAGTGCTGATAAGGGGTCCTGGCTCCCATGCCGCCACGCTGGGTACACCAAGGAGACACACGAGAGGGTTAATTAACTAAGTACTCCTTCCAGGGAAGAAGGGAAAGAAAATTTATGGTCAGATGTTAATTGTCCATATTCTAAGGCACTTTTTAAAACCCGAGCTGTCCCCTTGCTGAGGCCCATCCACGTCTTCTCCTACAGTCGGGCAGCTCACACCCAGACGCGACCTACATTAACCACAGATTTCGGTGTCCCTCCCCACTTCCCACCTCAAGTTCTTCAACACGGACCAAAGTCAACCATAAACCAAGCAAAAGGAGCAAACTGGTATATATTCACATGATCTATGTCCCAAACAAACCAGGTCCTCTACCAGGCCCATTGCAATGAGAAAAGTCTCCAGAGGGAGTGATGACCTCCTCCCGACTTCCCCAACCTCCCACCCAGCCACAGTTCTTACCCTCCCTTCAAACTTGGCAGTGGCTCCTTCTCTGATGCAGAGGTTCCGAGGGGGCGAAATGAAAGCAGGAGCCTCGGTCAGGGGCATGGGGCCGGCTCGCGAGTGATCCACACCGAGGGAGCTTTCAGAAACGTGTGTCGAGGCAGCCAGCTTCACATCCCCCATCGTCTGAAAACAGGAAGGACGGTCAGGTCAGACGAGACAAAGCACAGCCCGGTTTCCTCCCAGGCAGCAGCAGGCCCAGTGCACTTGCTGGGCCCCGTGTGGCGAGTTTTACTGGAAGTAGGTGCCCCATGAGGTCAGGGTCCACCTGGGGCGCTCCTCTGGAAATGACAGGCTCTGTGTCTTCTACATGCAGGGCTGCCTGGGCGAGGCCCAGCTGGTCTCAGATGCCAGCTCCCAGGGCCATGCCCCGGCCTCTGCAAAACCCCTTGGAGAACTAGAAAAGGGGCAGCTGCGGTAAGAACAGAGAAACCAAATGGTCCTTTGAGTATCTGCAATGGGTATCTAAAATCAGTGTTTATTAGTCCTTGGCCCTTCAGAGTCAACATCTACATTAGGCACATGTGGTAGAAAGCAAAGCTGTTTTCTGCCTGGCCTGTGAGAACTCACGTGCTAGGGGAAAATGGGATCCATACTCTAAGACAGTAGTTTGGGATTAATATGACAAGGATCCTGACTGAGGTGGGCATTTGTGGTTGAATGAAGGGAAGGAGGCAAGGCTGGAGAGGACACCCTATTTCAGGGACTAAATTGTGAAAAATTCTCAAAGGTCATAGAACATCAGTGTGTTCTATGTTTTAAGATCATCTAGGTGAACTACATTTATAGCTGAGGTCCAGAGGGTAAAAGTCACTTGCCCAAAGAGACAAAGCAAAACAATCATATCATGGGCCAGAATGCCTCAGGTTCCCGACTCCCGTCCAGGGCCCCGCTCGGCCAGACGAGACGTCTACTGACACTCACTGGTAAAGTGAGCCGGAACAAAGAAACTTAGGATTGATTCCAGAAGTGGAATTAGTAACAGGTACGAATCTGAATTCTCGGTTGTAAACTACAGAAACTGACTCTGGCTTTCATAAACAGAGAAGGGAGCCATTAGAAAGACAGAGTTTGGTGGGGAGCGCCCTGCATTTGTAGGAAAGGCTGGAGCGCCAGGCTGGGAGAACGGGCAGCGCTGATGACAGAAGCTGAGTGGCGAGATCCCATCTAAGGTCACTGGACACCTGCAACCACCATTTAGAATAATACAGCCTAAGCATCCCTGCTCCAGGTTCCAAGTCCAGATGGAAGTCTCGCCAGGCTGGAATGGCTGCAGGTTGAGGACCACATCATATGCTCTGCAGAATCCATGGCTCCCGGCCTATTGCAGGAGTATGACAAACGTCTGCTAAATGGAAGGGGAACAGATCCCATGCTGTGAAGTAGATGAGCATGTACTTACTTTGTTTAAATTTAATAACGTCTAACATAAATAAAATAGAGATAATACTTTGAAGTTAAAGTTAAACTAACAAGGTCTGGCTGGGCAGGTCAGTCAGCTGGAGGTGTTGTCCTGACATGCGAAGGTTATGGGTTCAGTCTCCAGTCAGGGCACATACGAGGAGCAACCAATGAATGCACAAGGAGAATAACACAAATGGAAGTTTCTCTTCTCTCTCTCTCCCCTCTTTCCCTTCCCCCTTTCTCAACCTCTCTAAAAATCAATCAATAAATTTTTCAATAAATTTTTTAAAAAGTTAAAATAACAAGAACCTAGATTTGATTATTAACAGAGCACATCTTTGTTTGGCAAATCTAGCTTTCTCTTTCACTAGTAAGATATTAGCTTTGCAAAAAAAATCCCTTCCAAATGATAAGACTCACAGGTTCACTGCAGCAAGTAGTAATGAACGCAAACTTTATGTAGCACTTACTCTATGCCAGGGACTGTTCGAAGCACTTTATAAACAGCAGCTTATTTGCTCCTCACCACAACACTATAACATAGGTAATTCTATTATCCTCATTTCATGACTTAAAACCCAAGATGCAGAGAGATTAAGAAATTTGCCCAAGGTTAAATTAATCGGGGGCAGACTGGCATTGGAACCCCAGTGTCTGGCATCGGAGCCCTAGGCTTAACCACTGGGACCTCTCGCCTCTTGCAAGCAGTAAGAGTTGGCTGGTGGGAAGCGGGTGTGAGCCTGGGGTAACAAGAGAGAAAGTTAAAAGCTACTACCAACATACATAAAAATTAAGATTTTCTGTATGTCAAAACATACGGTCAACAATATTAAAAGATGGATGATTACCTGGGATAAAATGTTTACAAGAAAAACAAAGGACTAGGACACTTAACATATAAGAAAATAGCCTGACAAACAAGTGGAAAGCAGCTGTGCCTTGGACGGTTCACAGTAGATGGACAAATGACCACTACAAATGGCCACTGCCTAGCCACAGTAAGAACCCAAGAGTGCAAATGAAGGACGAGCCATTATCTGAAGAGCCATTATCTTAAAAACTAACCACACTGATATCTAAAAGGAAAGACAAAATGCCAGTGAGACTGCCATGCGGCAGCTGAGGGGAATATAACCCATCCAGGGGGATGTAAGTGGTGTGACCTTTCCAGAAAGAAGCTTGGCAACAAGATTCCAAATTCAATGGCCATCTCTATCCCCAGTAATCCTACATCTAGAAATGTGTGACTGGGAAACAATCAGAAATGCAGTCCCAAATCTATATATGAAAGTGCCGATCACATTATTTATAGCCAAAGAAACAGAGTAGTAAATCCAGTTAAATTGAAATAGAAAAATATTTCTTTAATATATAGCAGTGAGAATGGGTTAAACACAGTGGAATATCAAGCAGTTATATTTGCATATACTTACAAGAAAATAAGGACAGAAATTAAATAATATAGAAATGTTAAACTACAATTAAGTTTTACTACAGAAAATGTCAAAGATGCAGAAAAGCAGAAGGACAAAAATGAGCACCTCAAACCCCTGCCTCCCAGACTCAGCGATTAGCATTTTGTCCTGTTTACATTATTGTGTTCGTGCATGCGTTTGCAGAATGATCTCAGAGTGATCAAGATCCAGTTTTAATGGCAGGAATCATGATCTATTCATTTACTCAATTAAAATACATTTATTGATTTCCAGACAAGAAAAAAGCTAAAGAAGTTCATCCCAACCAAACCACTATTAACAAGAAATGTTAAAGGAACTTCTTTAAGAAGAAGGAGAAAAAGATAAAAAAAAACATGAATAATAAAATGGCAAAAACTACATACCTATCAATAACTACTTTAAACGTAAATGGATTAAATGCTCTAATCCAAAGACATATGGTGCCTGAATGGAGAAGAAAGTAAGAGCTCTACATACGCTGCCTACAATAGACCCACCTCAGATTGAAAGACACGCACAGGCTGAAGGTAAAGGGATGAAAAAAGATATTGCAGGCAAATGGAAATAAAAAAAAAAAAAAGCTGGAGTAGCAATACTTGTGTCAGACAAAATAGACTTTAAAACAAAGGCTATAACAAGAGACAAAAAGGGACATTCCTTACATAGTAGCCATGATATGAAAGCAATCTAAGTGTCCATTGATAAATGATTGGATAAAGATGTTATTTATATGTGTGTGTATGTATGTATATATATACACTCAGCCGTAACAAAGATTGATATCTTACCATTTTCAAAAACACAAATTGACCTAGAGGGTATTATACTAAGTGAAATAAGTTGGAGAAAGATGAATACCGCATGATTCTACTTATATGTGGAATCTAAAGAACAGAATAAACAATCAAAACAGAAATAAACTCATAGTTACAGAGAGCAAAACTGATTGTCGCCACATGAGAGCGATGTTGGGGGATTGGGTGAAAAAGGTAAAGGGATTAAGAAGTAGTTACAGCCCTGGCTGGTGTAGCTCAGTGGACTGGGCGCAGGCCTACGATCCGAAAGGCTGCTGGTTCAATTCCCAGTCTAGGGCACATGCCTGGGTTGCAGGCCAGGTCCCCAGTAGGGAGTATGTGAGAGGTAACCACACACTGATGTTTTTCTTTCTCTCTTTCTTAAAAAAAAAAAAAAGAAGGAGAAGAAGAAGTTACAAAATAGTCACGAGAGTTAAAGCACAGTACAAGGAATATAGCCAATAATATTGTAATAACTATGTATGGAGCCAGGTGGGTACCAGTCCTATGGGGGATCACTCTGTAAGTTATACAAATGTCTAACCACTATACATACACCCAAAATAATATTGAATGTCAACTGTAAATGAGAAATTTTAAGAAATATTAAAGACCTATTTATTGAACACCTACCACATTCCAAACCACGTGGTAGGGATGTGGAGTGAACAGTCCTGTGTGTGTGGTGTGGGGGTAACATGGGTAGGGAAGGAATGGGGTTCCCACATCCTGCAGAGCCACCTAGGACCATGCCCCAGAAGGGACACTGCTCCCCCTGCCCTCCTCCGCTGCCACTGAGAGGGGACAGATACACTCTGTGCTCTCAGAGTTGGGGGAGTGGGTGGAGGTGGGGATTGGTATCCTGAGGGTCACACCCTGCCATAAACCCAGGGGCACTGTGACTTTCTAACTGTGAGCTGGACAAGGCACTTTAACTCTCTTGGCATCAGTCTCCTTTTCTGTAAAATGGAAATGATGACACCAACCTTGCAAGGTCCAAGGGAGGGTTTGAAGAGAGTGTACATGAAACACATAACATAGCACCAAAGGGCCTCAGTAAGAGGCAGCTGTCAACGTCATCATCCAGCTCCGGAAGGCAACCCAGTTTCACCAGCTTATAGGACACAGACCATTTTCACCAGGGACAGAAAGATGCCTGGACCAGCCTGATTATTATCTGCAAGATAAGGGTAGCAGGGTGGGATTACTGTACAATGGCAGATGGCAGAACTCTGGGAAAAGATGGGAAGAAGGATTGTCAAGTCTCTTCTAGCAGCACTGTTCAATGGCAGGGTTTATGCCTCTGACACTGTACTGGGCACTGGTCTTAGTCTCCACAGCCCTGCAAAGCATTCTGACTGCTTTTACAAATGAGGACACCGGGGCTCAGAGAGCCAACTCTACTTGTCCGAGGTCACATAGCTAAGAAGTGGAATCCAAGCCAAAATCTGGCTGCAGCCGTACCCTGGGCCCCATGACCCAGATGAGGAATTTCCTGCTATTTCCAGTAAAGGGGGATGCGGAAGGCAGAGGCCATTGGAGAGAGGAGTACTGGGAACTGCAGAGAGGAAGAGGACAGGCCATGCACCTTCCTTTCTGCTCTCAGGCCTGGCCTGGGAAGTCACAAGACTCTTTTGCCTCTGCTTTCAGAGGAGCTGGAAACCAGAAGTGGGGACATCAGGCTCAGGACCCTCTTGCTCCAACGCCTTCTGAGGTCCACCTATACCTCCCAAAGGCCCCAGATACTATCATCAAAAGGAACGTGCTTGGCCTCGAGAACGCAGAAAACAGAAGTCATTCAGCCTTAGGGAAGGCCTGGCTTCATGATTAGAAAGAGAACAGGCAGGTCAGTACAGCCAGAAGGCACCCAGTCCCCTGCAAGGGAGGTTACTGAACTACCCTGCAAGCAGGACCAAAGCCCAGTCCCACAGCGGCCAGATACACCAAACAGCTCTGCTCAGCGCATCGCCCCACCCACTGCCATCGGCAGCATAAACAGATCCTGTCCACACTGTCAAATAATGGCTACTGACATATCTGGAATGCTCTATCAAAATAAATAAATAAATAAAACCCAGCCATCCTTGTTCCCTTCTAATCCCTTGTCCAGCCTGGTGACCACATTCCCATGGAGAATACCACCCTTATCACTGCTATTGGCAGAGCAGTGCTCAGTGGCTGGAATTAAACAAACCAACTAGAGGGTTTTATTCAGTAATGATCAGAGGACAGAGAAGTAAGAAGAGAAAAAAATGGAGCTGGGTATGGGTAAAACAGTGGTGCTCTGGCCTGGTGGCTCAGTTGGTTAGAGCATCATCCTGATGCACCAAGGGTGTGAGTTCTAGAGCCCGTCAGGGCACATACAAAAAGTAACTGATGGCCCCAGCTGGTGTAGCTCAGTGGATTGAGTGCGGGCCTGCAAACCAGAGGATCACGGTTTGATTCCCAGTCAGGGCACATGCCTGGGTTGCAGGCCAGTTCCCAGCAGGGGACGCACAAGAGGCAATCATACATTGATGTTTCTCTCCCTCTCTTCTTCCCTTCCCCTCTAAAGATAAATAAATAAAATCTTTTTAAAAAAAGTAACTGATGAATGTATCAGTAAGTGGAATCAGTAAATGAATCAAACTCTCTCTTTCTCTCTCATTCTTCCTCCCAAACGCCCCTTCCTCTCTCTCTCCCTAAAAACAAAAAATCAATAAAAAAAGAAAGAGGAGTGGTGTGAGGGCTGAAAGCAACCCCCCAACATGTGCGCGCATGCACACATACACACACACACACACACACACACACACACAAAATGCCTGGGCCAAAGCTCACTTCCAAATAAGGTTTCCACGAGTAACAGAATGTATTCATCACTCAAAGCAGCACTAAGTTAATTGGACTTTAATTTGAACAAAAGTACCATAAATTGTCTCTTGAACTCAGAAAGGAACACTTTCAACTATGGCCAAAACAGAGTGCAAAAAGATTCAGAATAAAAGTTACAAATCAGGAATCAAGTTATATGGCAGAACAGGTTTAGAGAAACCAGCTGTCCCCTTCCTTACCCAAAGTACATGCACTTTAAATGATAGCTGTCTTTAAGCACCAGATCAGTCAGCAGGGCATCCTGGAAATACCTTGCTTTTTCTGTAGGGAAGGGCTGCCAGTGCGCTCTGCACCGGCAGCCTGGCTGTCAGAGGTGAATCTATCTACAAGACACAGCACGTGTGAGAGACAGCAAGCCACCCAGGTGCAGATGCCCCAGGCAATGACAGCTCCACTCTCCCACCTTAATCCTCTCTCTGCCGGACTCAAATCCTGACAAATTGCCTAATTGCTCCTAATCCCTGAGTGGGCTACTTCTCTGTTGCAGGCTGTGCCAGGATGACTTGCTGTGACCCATGGGAGCAAACAGTGGAACAGGGCCACACACCAAAGAACAGACACGCCTTACCGAGGCCTCTTCCCTGGGAGCTCTCACACGAGTCGGGATGTGTGGACAGCCACGACGTACCACTGTACGCAGATATTCCTGTCCAAGGTCTGTCCGAGAAGGAAGAGAGGGAAGGAGAGCCAGGGACGGCGCAGAGCCCAGGACCAGACTGGAAAAGTTAAGGGGGGGGTTGACTTTGCTCGAAGATGTTGCAACTTGCCTTCCGCTGGGCAGCCAGCTTCACCCAGTCAGGGAGATCCGTTGTTCTCATCCACCCAGCTGGAGTGACCTTTGAAACCCCTGGCTGCCAGCGGCAGAGGCTCTCAGTGGAGTCCTGGGGAAACCAGGGGTGGAAGCTCGTGGGTTTTTACAGAGCTGCAGATTCCAGTCTGAGTGTGGAGCAAAGGCAGAATGCTGTCAAGCAGAGAGCTGAGCCCTTGGAGGGGCTGGACACACCCCCAGCTCTACATCTGGCTGGGAATACCAGTCATCCTTTGGCACATCTGGCCTAGAATTACCATCTAGGACTCATGGGACATCGCCTCCTGAGACTCAGCTCCTTCCTCCTTAAACTGAGAATGATCTGTTTGTGATCCCTTGAGCGGCAGGCAAGCCCAGAGAGCAGATGGACTGGGAAAACTCCAGGCTATAATTTTCATAGGGAATCTGGGCTGAGACTTCGACCTGGCTCTATCCACTGCAGTCATGCAGAGGACCCAGCAGCACTGGTCCTGATGCCCGGGGAGCTTCGGGAGCAGTCCCTGGAGCATATCTTTGTGCAAACTTCTTTAATGTCTGGCTTAATAATAGAAGACAGCTAAGTTTCCACATCTGTTTCTGTATCTAGTCTGCTGTGACATCACAGCATTTGGAGCTGCTGGGAAAACCCACTGTACACTGAAGAGAGAAGGCAAATGAAAAAGGCAAACATTCTATTACAAAAATGATTTGGGTCTCATGGCCTATGAAAAAGTCTCAAGGACCCCAAGGGCCCCCAGGGCACACTGTAAGAACAGTTGCTTTAGTCTAACGCTTTGCTCTCCTTGTCTGCTCTCACTTCTGCCCTCCTTAAAATACACAAGTGGGCCCTGGCCACTTGGTGAAGGGGTTGGAGCATTGTCCTGTAGACCAAAAAGGTTGCAGGTTCAATTCCAGGTCAGGGCATATACTCAGGTTTGATCCCCAGTTGGGGTACGTGTGAGAAGACACCAATCTGTGATTCTCTCTCACATCGATGTTTCTTTTCTCTCCCTGCCTCCATCTCTCAAAGCAATGCAAAAATGTCCTCGAGTAAGGAATAAATAAATAAATAAATAAATAAATAAATAAATATAGAAGAGTGCAGCTTGGGGGACAGGTGGGGAAGAAGGTAAATTAATATCCAATTTACTCCCATCTTTTTGTCAAAAAAAAAACAAAACAAAACTGTTGGACAAATATGGACAAGAGCGATTTGGAGCATGAAACAGACACTGATGAAGACACCTTTAAGTCAATTAAGTTCTTGGCCAAGAATTAAAAAACACCCAGATTCTGAAAGACCTTGAATGTAGTAGATATTTGAATATCTTATGGCCAGGAAAGGAGGAATGAATCCAAAAACAATGCTGTTCACCACTGAGGAATGAAGGTAAATCAGATCTAAGTCTTGGATGGAGGTTTCTGGGAGTGGACAACATGATGGGAAAGTCATTCAATTTGGGCAGAAACAAGGACAAGGATTCGGGCAAAATCATGCTCAGTGTGTTTATCAAATCTGTGAATTACACTAAGCAACTAGGAGCAGCTACCATGTTGGGTGTTAAATACACCCCTGAAAGATCAGCAAAAGGGACCAGAGCTTGAGGGGATGTTTAAAAGAACAATTTTTAAGGGCTTACACTTAGGCTCAAAAACAAGCAGTAAACAACTGCCAAGTACAAAATGTCTGATTGGAACTGCTCAGTGTAGACTCTGGTCCAGGTCAGATCACGTCAGGCCCCATGTTAGGCAAGTGCATCAAGGTCCACACATCGCAGTTGGCAGCCATGCAGCTGTGTGGTATGTGATTCACTGTCTCCCCTACTGGAGCACAAGCTTCCTCGGGTTACAAGACTGGTGTGTTTCGCTCACCGCTGTGTCCCTAATGACTAGAACACTGATAAGCAAAATTACTGATGAGTATAAGTTCTCATTGGATATTTGTACAATACATGAATGAATAGAAACTTGTGCTAAAAAGCTTTAAAAATCAACTCTAAACCATGACCCCACTTAATTTTATTGTATAGGGTACCTTGTGAGTGTTAAAGAGAGGACGTAGAAAGAGCAGTGGGTGGACAGTTTATAACAATATACTATCGACCCCTCTGGGGCCTACAGGCATTTGGTTTTAGGCACATGCCAGGCTAGCTCTAAACCTGGCGCGTAACTTGTACATCCTTTCTATTCTTTGGTTCTCAGTCTTCCTGTGTGTAAAATGGGCATAATGATGCTCTGCCTGGCATACACTCTCTGGGTTTCCTGCTGGCATCCCCAAGAAACTCAGATCCATATCCCTGGGTTCCCAAGTGAAATCACACAAAGCCAGCCTGCTCTGTCCTCTACAGCTGAGTTCTCTGAACATCAGGCAGCCCCTTCTTCCCTGTGGCTTCCTGGGCCTTCCCTCTTGGAAAACACATTGGAGGAGGGGCTGGGCTTCTACAGGCAGATGAGCTGCCCATGTCAGCCCAGCTACATCAGCAGAGCAGCAGACCATGGGTGGGAGGAGGATGTCTGTTCAGCAATACAACCCTGAATGCCCATGTCTTTGGCAGAAAGTTATTTTTAAGTTTTCTCCAAAGGGGACACACATATACACACACAGATCAAATAAAATAAACATACCCAACTGCACACACAGCGTGAATGAGCGAGGCCTGGTCTCCTGGAGCTGCTCTCTTCCTGTTGGGGTTCTTGCTAATTGGGGATTTAATGAGAACAGGCTGAGAGAAGCTTTCTGCAATAAAAGTCACATGCAAAAGAAATAAAAGCCAGAAACCCTGATTATAGCTAAATTAGCAAAATGCACATTCCTATCAGAATCTAGCAACAATCCTACAGTTCACTCATTTCATTAACAGGTATCATCCCTGCAAGAGGAAGTCTGGGGTCACGAGTGTGACCTTCTCAGATACTGGACCTCCTCCCTCTGGTCTGCTAAGTCAGGTGGGATGTGCCCAGTTTTTAAGCCCCATGAAATCACACTGTGAGTACTCAGGTAGGGGCAGCCCTGCCACTGCAGTCCGAGAGAGCATGAAAATCAACTCAGGGAACAGGAACAGAGCTCCGGGTTTCCATCCCCATGATGCACAATAGCAGGGAACAGACTGCTCTGCAGTCAGATGCTGTGTTCTCCGTTGTTAACTGTGGCCTGAGGCAAGTGACAATCTTTGAAAGTCTTAGTTTACTCATCCGTAAAATGGGGCTGCTACTAATAATCTCCACCTGCAGGGTTGCTATGAGGGTCAGCAGGGTGTATAAAAAGTGTCCCGGGGCCAGTCACTGGCACAGAATAAGTGCTCACTCTACAGTGGCTGCTATTGTTAACATTGTCATTGTTTTCAGATTTCTATCAAAATCTCATAGGAGAGTCCTAACCAGTGTGACTCAGTTGAGCATCATCCACAAAGCAAAACATTGTCAGTTTGATTCTCAGTCAGGGCACATGCCTGGATTGCATGTCTGGTCTCCAGTTGGAGTGCATGCAAGAGGCAACTGACTGATGTTTCTCTCACACAATGGTTCTCTCCCTCTTTCTACCTCCCTCCCCCCTCTCTAAAAATAAATAAAATCTTAAAAAAAAAAAGTCAGAGGACAGAAGAGCCTTGGCCAAGAAGGGAGCCGCACAAGAGAAAACAGGACAGCACACGAGGATAAATAGCACAGAAGAGAGAGACAGTGCCTCCAGTGCTTTCTATGGTGCACCCCAACCAGCTGTGTGTCCTTAAGACAGTCAAGTTCCTTCTCTGGTCTTCTCTACATGGCTTGAAGGGCCTCTATGGACCCTTGCTGCCCTAGTGCACCTGAGTCTTCAGGATCAGGACCAACTCTCCATAGGACCCCTGGTCAGGGAGCAAAGGTTTCAGCAGGGGAAGCCAAGCCCAGAACTGGAACAAGATGCTGTGGAACACCAGGGAGAAGGCAAAGACCTTCCTACTGTAGACTTCCATTAGGGGTCCACCATGCAGGGCTTCACAGGCCCAGCAGCCAAATCAGACAGGCACACCTGGTCCTCAAGGTGCACCTGTGAGATACCAACATAGGCCATGAAGCCTCTGAAGCCTGGGCCAGTGCTAGTAACTGGCACCTATGCAGTTATTCCAGCTTCTCAGCCTCTGGCCAGCTCCCAGGTCTGTCCAGGGAGGAGCTGGGGCTGAAAGACCTGAGTGGAAACCTCAGGAAAAAAAGGAGAAAGAGAGACAACCAATAATAGTTACTTTTTAGTGAGCACTATGTGCCAAGCTTTGGAGTAAGTACTTAAGGTGATTTATCTCATTTCACTCCTTAGCAGAGTGGCAAATTTTAACAGCAAAATTAATGGGGGAGTGTCATTCAATAAATGAAAGATATTTCTTTTCTTTCTATTACTTCATTCTTCCTCTCTCTCCCTGGATTCAGCCAATTTGTAGTAATTTGAGTTGTTTAGAGAACTTCTGGCCAAGATGGTGGTATAGGTAGATACACTGTGCCTCATCGGACAACCAAAAGAAGGAAAACAACAAGTTTAAAAACAAAAAAAATAACCAAAGTAACAGAAAATTGAATTGTATGGAAGTCCAAAAACCAAGGAATTAAAGAAGAAACATTCATCTGGACTGGAAGAGGGGCAGAGACATGCAGTGGGTTGGGCAGGACTCATGGCAAGGTGGCAGATGGAAGACCAAGTAGGCAGTCCCCCATTCATGTGCAGCTAAACTGGGAAGACCAACCGGGGAGTGAAACAGACTGCACAACCCAGGGTTCCAGAGATGGCAAAATAAAGCCTCAGAACATCTGGCTGTAAAAACCTGTGGGAGTTGTGGTGGTGGGAGAAACTCCCAACCTCATAGTTCATTGGAGAGACCCACAGGGTCCTTGAATGTACACAAATCCACCCACCTGGGAATCAGCACCAGAAGAGCCCAATTTGCTTGTGGGTAGTGAAAGAAGTGACTGAAAACCAGTCA